TGCAAAACACTTTACACTACGTGTCCGGTCTATGTGCTCTCTGGTTAGTGATAAATGTTTATAAAGTTTACTCTTTTTTCTATGAATTTTTAACTATTTTTGAATGATGGAACCATCGATACTATAGATATTTTAATCCATCGGACTCAAGCCAAATCGATGGACGGTCCATCGATGGTTTTGCAGCACTACTAGAGACGATTTTGTTTTAATGACCGTATATACAGAGCGGATGTCGAGTTTGTCTTTAAAAATCGATATCTATTCCCGATATTTAATTATCGATTAAAAACATTACCAATCAACTTAGATGCCACTGTAACTAATTGTGAATGATTTTTACTTGTTTTAAATTTGTCAAGTATTTAATAGAATATGTAGATCATATGCTGAAAGTTTCATTATATTCGGTTAAGTCAAAAAACAACACAAAAACGAGCATAGAGGCATCTTTTATTCAACATTTGACCGTCTCGGTCGAGCGCATGAAGCAGATTGTGCACCCGTGTATTTTCGTAGCTTGAGCCTAAAAGAAAGAAGAGACGAGAAAATACGAAATTGATAGGCCTTAGGAGGCAGATTTTTTGGTGTTGAAAAACTTGGTCCTACATGTCTAGTCTATGTGTTCTCTGGTCAGTGTCTCGAGTTAGTGATTCAAAATAAAGAATTGAAATGTAATCGATTTACAATTAAAGGAGTACCCATATTTTCGTTCATAGCTTGAAAGGTAAATCTTATCGATACATTGAGTAAATATTTTATGTTAGTAAATAGATGCTTGATTTTAGTGCCATAGAAAAAGTTATAAAAATATTACTAAGCCTTTTAAGAATTTTCAAATCAAGCAAAATGGATTGTGACAGCATGCAAATGGCTATCACGGAGGAACATCATTCAACCGTACGTATTAAATATCGGTTATTGCGTTGTATGTTTTTGTAAATAGTGAATACATACACACATATGTAGTTTGTATGTACATATGTACATATGTATTTACATGCATAAATATTTAGATACAGTAAATGCAACAGAGAAGGTAGTGAGCGTTGGGGATTTATAAACATAATTAAAAGCATTTTCACCAATTGGTTTATGTTTTATTTTAATAATCAACTTAATGCTGTGGTTGGTTACTATTTTTTTTTTTTTTTTTTTAAGTACGTTAAAGTTTTTTTGCAGTAATATATAATAGATAGCCTATTCTATTTTAAATTTTTGTTAAAAAAAAAAATATATATATATTTGAAAATACTTTAAAAATTGCTATAATGCTTAAAATGATTGCTCTGCCATAATAATTAAACTAATTGCATACTTCAGGAACGCAAGGAATGTGGACGAAGAGGACGTAAGCCAGGCAGGAAAACTTCGTCCGAAAAAGTAGATGTAAAAGCAAAACTCGGTAAAAACATTACATTTTAAATTTAAATTTTAAACAATATGTATAATGATTTGTATTTAATACCATAATTTTAGAGCGAAGCAGACAAAGCGCACGAGAATGCCGCGCTCGAAAAAAACTTCGGTATCAGTATTTGGAGGAGCTAGTTGCAGATCGTGAAAAGGCAGTTATAGCTTTGCGTGCTGAACTGGAGCGAGTTGGTTAATACATATTATTAAGCCAAATGCTCAATAATTATACCCTATTTTTATTACAGTTCATGCAATGCGATAGACGACTAGACGAAGTGGCATCTCCCAATGATATCGATCAGTTACTTAAAGACATTGGCATTCTAAAACAAGAAACATTTACATAAGCTACTCAAAAAATATATATATCCTTATTTCTTAATGTACGTAATCATACATTATTATTATTAATATATTTAAAAAATATTTCAGTGTGGCTTTTATTTAAGAAAGAATAGGAGATTGTTTGTTTGGTATGCATATAAAGTCGATAGGCTTTTTAAATATTCATATAAAATAAATATATATTTATGATACAAATAATTTGTATCTGGTCAATTTTTATAAAACATTTTTTAAGCGTTACAAGAGATGTTATTCTAGCTCTAATCACTACTCGACTACGAGATTTGAGTCCTTCCAAGCGCTGATATTTCAATCATTCTTAGTCTGTAATGCACTTGTAACGCTTTCCCTTACATACATACATGTATGTGCGTACTCACACACGCCTAAGCGTATGTATACTCGGCCAACTGCGCAGTTCAAGCAGCAATTACAATTGAGCGAGAGGTTGGGTAATTTTATGAGATATGTATGTAAAAATGTATTTGTTGAATTTACATTGTTTTCAGAACATAATTTGATTCAAATATGTGTATTTGCTAATGATCAAATACCTAGTATTAAATCGTTTTTATACCCTGAACCCATTGAAAATGGGAAATCAGGGTATAATGGTTTT